CAAGTAGCTATCCTTTGTTTGATTTCATCATTTCAAGGGGGTGATAACTTTTAATTATACAAATTTTTGTACATTTCATTATTTAGATCCCCTTTCTTATAAAAGTATCTTTTAAATTCACAAGTATACGATTCGAACTTGCTTATGTCGCAAATTGAAAGATTAACTATATTTTTCTTGGTTTTTTTCTGTTTCTTGCTCCCCCAAACTATGAACATCGCCACAGAATTGTTAATATAGCAAGGTTGCTATATATAATGGGTTCCTAGATAATCGAACACTTTCCTTCCAAGGAAGATAATCTGAACTTGAGATGAAAGTGAACCACCATTCTTTAGTTATGCCAGTTAGAGTGGCTTCACACCATAACATAGCTTCCTCGTTTGTTCATCCTCTTCCAACAGTTCCGATCACTAGGACATTAGGAGTGAAGGTAACTCAGACAGTCTCTTGATTCCATTTTTGAATTTGTTGAATCAAGTATTTTAATCTTTCTACCTCTCATATAGTTTCAAACTCGTTTTTTTTGTTTTTAGAGTCTCTTCTTCCTTTAAGGTTTTGAAGTTTTCTGTTAGGAACTCATTTTCTATTGGCATCCCTGAACTGGTTTGAATACTAAAGTCTTTTCCCTTTTTGAATTTCAAGATTATGTGAACATCTAGTGTTTCATAACTAGTCGATAGTTCCAAAGATTCACTGTGTTTCTCTTTGACGTAAGTTTCCATCTTTCAAGAAATTGAATTTCATTCCAATTTGAGGATTTAGGGTAATAAGTATGGTTTCTACATTCAGTTTGGATGAATGTTGTTTTTCTCCCAAATTGGTTGAGTAAGCTCCTTGGAGCATTTGATTGTATTATTTTATAATGCACTATGTATTCTATTGTGAGATTGAATCTATTTTATCTAAAATTTATCCCATGAGTTGCTAACTTGACTTTCAATGCTTCATGAACATCTCTGTTCTCTACAGTAAAGTTACGAATAGCATTAAAGAAAACATGCAATTTGTTTCAGTATCTGCTTGGATTGCTCCTAACAGATATATGTCATCTCTCAAGGTGCATAGTAGCTAGAGATCTTCCTAGGATTTCTCTTCCTAAGAATTTTATAACTATTTGCATTACGTACTTGTATCATTGGTTTTGATCTCTAAGTATTTGATCTCTAGCAAGTATGCCAAGTAACATAATGCCTGTTTCATCACTTCTAATTGAATGTGTCATTTCGACCTTTCTGAACTTATATGTTGGTTTTAGGTCGAATCTACCAATTTTATAGAGATGTGTAAATTCAAATTCTAAAATTTGATATTCTTTTATTTAATCAGAAATATTTTTCAGTTCTATTTCCTCCTCCATATTTTTTATACCCATTCTTTCAGATACAGATTTTCGTCTTTTGGTAAAAGCCTTTATCATTTTAACTGGGTTGCCTGTTACAGGGCATTAGGTTTTCTAAAGCCACCCATGTCTTTGTGAAAATATTCCTTTATTTGTTTTTGCTCTTTTTCTAGAGGATTATCCTGTGCTATTTTCTCTTTTCCTTTTATTAAATATTTAACAGTTTCTTTTCTAATTCCTTTATATTTTTATTAACATTGTCCATTTGTTGGTCAATCTTATTTAAGGATTCATAGTTCATTATCACGGCCAGTAACAACCAATTGTTTTGTTTTACGGTTAGCTGGATATTTTCAAGAGTTTTATCTAATTGCAATAATAAATAGCCCTTTATGACTTGATTATCTTGAGAATGACGTCGTTGATCTACTTGTTCTTGAAAATTCATCATAATCTTTCATCAATTGTAATACCCCTACGGAGGTATCACATCAATTCTTTGAATTAACGGTTTGATTTCACTTTGAATATGAAAAATAGCCTTGACTAATTTTTCATCCCTTTCTTCAGAAGGAATATTGGTTCGATTTGGGTAAACCTCTAAAGTCTTATCTATTCTTTCAATTTTTGTAGTTTTAGTTCTAAGTTCACTAATTAGCTGGTCACTTAAATTTTTATCACTATTTTCTAGAGCTTTTGACGTAAGCAGAAGCGATAAATTTGTTCACAAGATACCGTTTACTTTGAATCCACAAAGCAAGATGTTTTGAATCGACAAAACGAATGACAATTTCAGAAAAATCATATTTGTATTGATAATTGAATGAAAGATTCTGATTTCGGCATTACACATATTTATGATGAAAGAAAACCCTAATCCATAAGGAAACTAATTGCAACACGAATCCTGCTAACATAAGGAAACCTAATCAACAAAAACAACTAAATCTAAAATTTTAAAGCAATTCGAGTTCTTTAAGGCATTGAACAAATCCAATAATAATTATCAGGCCTCCTATAAGACAATAAAACGTGACTTCAAAACCTTAAACAAAAGTTTTTAGCCAAAAACCAACACAGCCCACAAGCAAAACCTAGTGGTTTTTTCTCAAAAGGTAGTTTCCAACCAAAAAAAACAATCATCTGAGGTCGAAAACGGACTTGTCAAACTACTTGTCGAACTGTTCAAAATTCTGTCCAACATCAGTCCCTCTACTTCAAAAAAAACTAGTCCTCAAGTTTGGTTGCAAATAATATGAAGTCTCACCTAACAAAAAATCATATTGTTCATATTGCCTACTTCGGTGAATCCGTGTTTATTGCCACCAAGTTGAAGCCCCATCCTTTAAGCTTGGAGGCAATAAGCGAAACTTACTTGTTTTTAGGTACGTCAAAATACTTGAAAAATTCTTCAACTTCTTCAAGTCAGTCCCAAAAAATTCTTCAACTTCTTCAAGTCAGTCCCAGACATCTTCAATAATAATACTTCCATAGAAAGTAAGTAGATCAAGTTTTATCTAAAATTCATGATTATTGCGTCTGTCTCGATCACTGAATACGAAATCCTCATCATCAGAATAATCATTGGAATAATCCGCATAGGCTGGAGGCCTACGTGGATAAATACGAACATAATCCATATTCGGTTGGCTTCGAGACGCGTCATCAGCGCGTACTGAAATTGAATCGCGAACCTGGTTGCCACTAATTCCAAAACCAATTGTCAAAGTGGGTGCTACCAAAACGAGCAATCATCATCAGCCCAAGGTAAATCAAGGCTCTGATACCAACTGACGTAAGCGAAAGCAATAAATTTGTTCACTAGGAACGGACAAAGTAGGTGTTTTGAATCCACAAAATGAAGGATAATTTCAGAGAAATATGAAATTTGTATTGATAATTGAATGAATGATTCTGATATGTGCACTGCAAATATTTAGAATGAAAGAAAACCCCAATCCATAAGAAAACTAGCTGCAACACGAATCCTTACAACATAAAGAAACCTAATCAACAAAAACTACTAAATCTAAAATTTTAGAGGAATCCGAGTTCGTTAAGGCCTTGAACAAAAATCCCAAAATAATTTGGAAGCCTCATATAAGACAATAAACCTGGTTGCCACCAATTCCAAAACCAGTTCCTACGAACCGATCTTGAGTATGCATGGCTCCTTGAGGGGCTTTCACTCTGCGATCATCGTTGGCAAAGTGAGTGCTACCAAAATGTGCAATCGTCACCAGTCCAGGGTAAATCAAGGCTCTAACACCAACTCACGTCAGCGGAAGCGGTTTATTTTGAATTCACAAAGTTGGGTATTTTGAATCTACAAAATGAAGGATAATTTCAAAGAAATCTGATATTTGTATTAATGATTAAATCAATGATTCTGATCTCTGCATTGATCATATTTATAATGAATGAAAACCCTAATCCATAATGAAACGAACTGCAACAAGAATCCTAATAAAATAAGGAAACCTAATCAACAAAAATTACTAAATCTAAAATTTTAGAACATATGTTAACATTTTATTAAAGGATATTATTGTAAATCAACGATAGAAGTGTTTAAAAAAATATTGTTACCAAATAATAAATAATTAATTAATTATAAATAAAAAAACTTATTATAACGTGTCAGTGTATCACTAAATACCTAATATACTTTTTACTGATCATAATTTATTGATAAAAGCATTTTTTAATCCCAAACTGAAGACTGGTATGGTACTTGCCCTTGCTTCTCTTGTATCGTGGGCTCTTTATTCTGTGCGTCTTGGCCTCCCATGGGCATTGATCAGTCCTATTGGACTGATTTCATGGGCTGGCACGGTTTGGTAGACTTGAAATTTTTATTTTTATTTTTCAAATTAGGGGGAGAGGGAGACTCGAATACGGGTACATTCTTCAGAAAATTGAGCACTAAGTCACACAATTTTTTTAATGGGTGTCGCTCTCACGTTCCGAGCGCGTTCCGGTTTTTACATTCCGCGCGCACTGTGTCTCAAGCTATCACTACTTATAAAATAATTTTATCGCTCTCGAATTCGCTCCCCATTTGCTTCCACTTTATATGACTTAGGTTGCACACTATACCGTTTATGCCAAATAATGCCGGATATTGCCGTAAGCTTGATGAATTGAAAGTGTTGTTTTGTTTTCTTTTGAAGGGTATGCCACTTGCGCAATTTCTGGAGTAATCTGACATTTGAAAGTGCATTTATCTAGCCGGATACCAAAATACCACACCACCCATCTTGTTTAGATTAAGTTGATTATGAAATCAAAATACAGTGGGTGTAGTTAAAAAATTAATGACTCTGGCACATTTATGATTTTGGAGGCATAGAAATACTTGTAGAAATAAATAATTGGAGAGGATCAAAATCTTGGTCCTTGCGGACCTCAGCAGTTCAATCCGCTTTGTGTTAATTCAATTAATTGGCTTTTATTAATTATATTATACCATTCTATGAGTTTTTGGGAAGAATTATCAAGTGACTGTTCTCTTACTTAAATATGCATCCCCATAGGGCCCATACGTTTTACACTAAGCAATGGACATTTTAAGAGACATGACTTGTAATTAAAAAGAATAAAAAATAAAAAAGAATTCAAACACGTCACTGACTTTAGCCAGCTGAGATAAAAGCAGAGATAATCACGACAATAAGAACCACGAATGGAGAAGAAAATGAGAGCTCAAAGTGCTCACTGTTTGGTCCTGCCATACACAACCCAAGGCCACATAAATCCTATGCTCCAATTCTCCAAACGTTTACAACACAAACAAATCAAAGTCACACTAGCCATCACCCGCTTCATATTCAAGACCACCATGCACCAGCTTTCAAGCTCCGTCGCGGTGGAGACGATCTCCGATGGCTACGACGAAGGTGGCCGTGCACAGGCAGAGAGCAGAGAGGCCTACTTGGCTCGATTTCAACAGGTCGGCGAGCAAACTCTGGCTGACCTAGTTGAAAAGCTCCGCGACACAGGCCACCCTGTGGATTGTATTGTGTATGATTCTTTCTTGCCTTGGGCTCTTGATGTAGCCAAAAGGCTTGGATTGGTTGGAGCTGTGTTTTTCACTCAATCTTGTGCTGTGGACAATATTTACTATCATGTGTACAACCAACTTCTGAAACTTCCTGTCACAGGACCTAAAGTTCTGGTTCCTGGTTTGCCCCTACTTGAACCTTCAGACCTGCCCTCTTTTGTTTATGATTTGGGGTCATACCCGCCTTTATACAGAATGGTTGTGAATCAATTCTCTAATATTGACAAAGCAGATTGGGTCCTCTGCAACACCTTCTATGAGTTGGAGCAAGAGGTTGGTTAATTGGAATGTGCATAAACAATCGAAAAGTTTTTGTGTTGCATTTACAATTCATTTAGTCTGCATTTGATTGTCATTTGGTTGCATCCACATGTCCCTTTACACACATAAATGTGAGTGAAGACTGTTGGATACAACCAATAATGGTGTGAGGTATAGTCCAACCCTTTATAATTTTTTGTTGACCTATTGTTGTCTGTGAAATACTGTATAGGTGGTGGATTGGATGGCGAAGCTTTGGCGATTGAGGACGATTGGACCAACTCTACCATCAATTTACTTGGATAACCGACTCCAAGACGACAAAGCGTATGATCTGAATTTGTTTAAGCCAAACACAGATGGTTGCATACAATGGCTAGACGAGAAGCCAGATGGGTCGGTTGTCTACGTGTCATTTGGGAGTTTGGCAGAGCTAGGAATTGAGCAAATGGAAGAACTAGCATGGGGTTTGAGAGCAAGCAACAAGTACTTCTTGTGGGTGGTCAGGGCATCAGAAGAGGCTAAGCTTCCAAAAGACTTTGTGGAGGAGACATCTAGGAAGGGCTTGGTGGTGTCATGGTGTCCACAGTTGGAAGTTTTGGCGCACAAGGCGATAGGATGTTTTGTGACACATTGTGGATGGAACTCTACATTGGAGGCATTGAGCTTTGGGGTTCCAATGGTGGCAATGCCTCAATGGTCGGACCAAAGCACGAACGCAAAATATGTCGCGGATGTTTGGGGTATGGGACTCAAGGCCAAGCTCAACGAAAAGGGAATAGTTAGAGGATCAGAGGTGGAGGATTGCATAAGGGAAGTGATAGAGGGAGAGGGAGGGGAAGAGATCAGAAGGAATGCTGTCAAGTGGAGGGAATTGGCGAAGGAAGCCGTGGATGGAGGAAGTTCTGATAGGAACATCGGCATGTTTGTTGCAGAACTAGTTAATTCCTGATCTCCTCTTAAACAAGCATTGTGCAATTTTAAGAGTAGTCTGATTATTGATAGCATGGTTCGAAGTCGTGGTGTAACGGACTCGAACAAAATCAGTGTAAATTGATCGAACCGGCCAGTAGGGACTCTTGAAAAAGGATCACGTACCAGTCGATATGGTGGAACTACAATTGATAGTGCACAAGAAATATTGTAACCATAGTCACTGAATTTATTCGTAATAACGAAGTGTTGCATTCTCTATGATGAAGCCAATCTGTTCTACAACTGAACATCTGGTAAATTAGTGGTAATCTCCTTGGTCCTTCATTGGAGAAGATAATTTGAGTTATTTTGCAGGAAAATTAAAACTAAAAAAGAAATTATTTCATGATGCTGGAGTACACAAGTCAATCTAATACAAAACCATCCAAATATATACATGCATATATGAATATAAATATGTATTAACAGCTCAATAGATTCTTAGGTTTAGGTTATGACACTTCATGGAATGACATCATTAGAAAACAACAAAGTAAATAATAGCTATGTCCATTTCAATTGCTAGCCTAATCTGGGAATACTTCCTTGTGATCCTAAAAAAAAGATACATCTAAAAGAAATACAGTCTGCATACACATTCTGCATTTTTACTGTAGAAAAGCAAATAAGAGACATCCTATAACAGCATTAGCATTCTTATCTGCTGTGGAATACAATGGATGAGTAGCCAATTCTAAAGTAAATTTAAACTCATAAAACCGCCTATTAGTGATTACTCGAAAGTAGAAACAAGTCCATATCATGCAAACCCTCACTAGAAGTAAAAGATACAGAATTTTCACCGGCCAAATTCTAACCACAAGCCAAATTTGACAGACTACTCCAAGGGAATCCATTGAATGTTAACATCCACACATTTTAACTCGAACATAGAAAATTTGACAAAAACATTCAAATGATTCTTACCTTTGCCATCAGAAACAGTCTCCTTGATAACAAGGTATCACAAATTATAACATATCACAAGGTGAGAAGTTTCTCCTGTAAAACGTTACCTAATTTAGAGAAGGTCAACAAATAAGAGATGAAACTTTAGGCCTTTCCCCGTCTCATTGATACTCCTAAACCCGAATGAAGGCAGGCTTGATTCCCAAGTTTGTAACAAGAAGCTAGACTAGTTAACACTTGACACTTTTTTATTTTTTATTTTTTATTTTTTATTTTTTGGAAGTTAAAGCAACTAACTGATGAAATGGGGATTCAAACCTAGGCCTTTGGCCACAAGCAGCACATACCCTACCACTTGACACTTGCCTAGAAGTAAAATGTGATAATTTGTCTAGTCATAATTCAGAAGAATCTATTCAGAGCTGTTTCCAACACAAATTGATCAAAGAAATCCATTTCAGACAACAAGAAAGAGCAGCAAGAAGTTCCTATTCCTATGAAACATCTGCTTTCATAGAAGACAATTTTACATAAACCATGAATCATACTGATACACACACACACACACACACACACACAAACTTTAAAGATTTGTGGTTATTGTAGGGAGAAAAAATAAATAAAATAAAATAAAATAAAAAGAAAGAAAGGAAACAAAACAAAATCCAGTTTGAGTATGAAGATCTGTACAAATTTCATACTTACAAAACTAGAAGAGAAGACGCTCTGAGGAAATGTCTGTCCAGGAAACTATGAACCCTACAAAGGTCTAGGTGATATTTCACTACCCAAATAAGACATTCAAAGCTAACTATGCTGAAGAGCACGGAAAATTTAAATAGTGAACCTCTTCTTTGCTTCATCTCTTTTTCTTTCTCTTTTTCTTTTTCCTTTTTTTTTTTTTTTGGACTTTAAAATATCAATTAAACAAAGTTAAAGCAGAAAGTAGCTAGTAAATATGTCCTGAAGAAATTTATAAACTTATATGGATAAATAAAAATCTCAACAAAATATACGGAAACAGTCAGCAACCCATTTCCTCCAGCTCTCAAAACTTTCTGTGCAAGAAACTATTTCATCCATTTTGCATTTTTGAAGTTACGAAATGCTCAAACTCTGTTAATTCAAGAAATTCTCTCTAAAATTACATAAATTACATATATTGAAAAAAATAAAAAATAAAAAATAAATAAATAAATAAATTATCCCTACTTACATGTTTGAGTTTCATCACATCTGAAAAAATGAACCTGTCTAAATAAAATAAAATATAGTAAAACCAACCTGTCCAATGCTGTAACTAACTGCACCTTGAGGCTTGAGAATTCCATCAGAATGCAATTCTGCCCAAACAAACTGAGCTGCATTGAGAATGAGAAGAACCACAGAGAAAAGATCAAACTGGCTCTGGTTTCAGCAATGTCTTTCAATTTCTTAAAAAAAAACTCAGGGAAATTTAGTATAATTTCTCAAAACAAACTGATTTTATTTTATAAAGCAACGATACCAATGTCAAAACAACCAAAATGATGGAACCCAACATCATTAGTCAGAAGTCATGGATGACAGTTGCCCACACATCCATGATATAAAAACCAAAATAACGACAAGCAACATTGATAGTAACAAGGCATGGATGAAAATTGTCCATGCAAACTGGAGCAAGTGGTGGCATAAACTTGTAAATCCAACAATTATCTGGTAAAAAGTGCAAAGAAAAAATGAAATAAATAATGCTATACATGTCAGAAGGTTATGGTTTAATGATTCACCTGAAACAGTTGAGTGGTGGCATAACAATAATTTTCAATATAGAACAGTCAAAAGCAAAACTGAAACATTTATAAAATAAACAGTTGAGTGGTGGCATAACAATAATTTTTCAATATAGAACAGGCAAAAGCAAAAGTGAAACATTATTAATATTATATAAAATATGAACATTTATTACACACAACAACAACTAACTACAGCGCGTACCCTTTTACCGGGAAAAGAAAAAAAAAAAACAAATAACTACAGATAGATTATGGAGCCACTCATTACTACTCTCTCACTGTACCTTTCAATGATTCTCCTTTACATCTTGAGCAACAATGAGTTCCTCTATAAAATCAGCATCAGCAGTATCTGACTGCACCATAATTTCATCGTCAATTGTGAAATGGTATCGCTCCCCAATAGCTCTCAGAAGCTGGTACACTTCAAACATAGTAGGCCTTTCCTTGGGAGCAGGCAACACACAATTACATGCAACTTTAAGAAATTGGAAAAGCTCACCATCAAAACCTTTCCCGACCAAAGATCTGTCAATGGCATCTTGAAGCTTAGAGTTGCTCGAAAGTTGTGTAATCCATTCCACCAAATTTCCCTTAAAACTTTCAGGAGCTTTAGTCACATGGGTAGGTCTTTCACCAGTCACCAACTCAAGAAGCACAACTCCAAAGCTAAAAACATCCCCCTTAGGGGTGGCAACCAGAGTTCGCATATACTCAGGAGCGACATAACCCAAATCTCCGAACTCCCCATTCACGAAAGTACTCAAATGAGTGTCAACTGGGTTCATGAGCCTGGCAAGTCCGAAATCAGATATTTTGGGCTCAAAATCTGTGTCCAGCAAGATGCATTTTGAACTTATGTTTCGATGAATTATACGGGGATTGCAATTATGATGAAGCCATGCAAATCCTTTAGCCGCCCCTATCCCAACTTTGAGCCTAATAGGCCACTCCATGGATTTCCCATCTTCATTTACAAGATGTAGCTTATCATGGAGGGTCCCATTTGGCATGTGTTTATAAACCAAAAGCCTCTCCTTCTTAGTCATGCAAAAGCCCAAAAGAGGAACCAAATTACGGTTTTTCACGTTCCCCAAAGTAGCCATCTCAGACACAAATTCTTTTTCAGAGTGTTGAGTATCCTGCAACCTCTTCACCATGAGTGAAGTGCCATCCTCAAGCATTGCCCTGTACACAGTTCCCGTTCTTCCTAACCCAATGATGTTGTCTTTGTTGAAGTTGTTAGTAGCCTTCATGAGATCACTTAATCTCATCTTTGAAACTGACTTCTCAAACATGGAAAGCTAGGAAATAAAGAATAGCTTTTCTCAATATGACATAAATGAAATAATTTAATTGGAAATCATAAAAAATTTATAATGTCAAACCAAGATATTGGTATCAGATAGAAAAAGTTACTCAATATATCTATATTGCTAAATTTTAAGATTTTTACTGGATAGTAAAAGATTGTAAGAGCAAAGGACGAAATCAGCTTACCTTGATTCCTTTAGCTCCCTTAATACTCTTTGCCCATTTATTTCCTTCAAGATCTTCTTCCTTTTTCTTTTTAGACACCTTACACATAAGGATTAACATTCCCATACCCACTAGTAATGCAACAGTCACACCACCAACAGCTGCTCCGGCAATGATTCCAGTGTGAGTTTTCTTAGAAGGTGCTTGGCAAAGGGGCAGAGGATTCCCACATAGTCCTGCATTATTTGCGTAGTTTTCTGCTGGAACTTTAGCATTGTAAAATTTCGGAACTTGCCCAGTCAATTGATTGTTTGCTACACTAAATGTCTTGATCCGATCTAGCAGACCAAGCTGCAGAGGAATGTGACCAGTCAACGCGTTGTGGTCGAGTTTAAGGACATTCAGATATGAACAATTTGCGAGGCTCGTGGGAATCTCTCCTGAGAAATTGTTGGAGGAGAGATCGAGGCTAGTCACATATTTGAGTATTTGAGAGATGTCACGTGGAATAGTTCCATAGAGCTTGTTGCTGGAAAGATCTAAGCCTGTCAAAGCTGTGCAATTCACAATACTACGTGGAAACTCGCCCTTGAGTCCCATATCGGAGAGCCGAATATTTAAAACCTTGTTCTCATCAGGATGCCAACAGTCGATCCCAGTAAATTTACAGATGAACCCTTCAGTATTATTATCAAAATTCCACGAAGAGTTTAAGTAATGGAATGGATCTTCCAATGATTCTTTTAGAGTTCTCAAGCAATAAATATCAGTTGCAGTACCATAGCTGGAATTACTATTTAATAGCAACAAGATAAAGATGCCAAAAAGAACAGTAAGACCTCTGCCTTTTAGTGCCATATTGAAGGAGAAGCCAGTCATAACTCACCTAGAAATAAGGATGAAAACCCATTAAAATTGCTGTTTAGCTCTAGTTACCAACTCACAAAACCTTACCCTTCACAATACCTATCCCCGCAACAAATACAAAAATTAGAACTGGAATTCAGCAATCTGCATAGGATTATAAAGTAACACCGCAAAACAGGGGGAGAAGGGAGTAATTTGCAAAATCCTAGCAGAACTAATTCAACAAAGAAAACTGGAAATCCATAAAATATTACGTAGAATAACACAAACATATATAAAAATCCCAAGCAGTTTATTTTTAAGATTGAGAGAACATAATGAGCCAGTGGAGCTTATACAATTCAGGATCTACACAAAATTTCAAAAATACCCAAAAAAAGAAGTACCAAAAGATGAATAGATAGGACAAACAGAAAACTTCAACTGATAACAGCAACTAAATATTGTAGAACAAAGAACAACAAGAAAGATGCACATCATCCAAAACTTCAGTCCTTGATATTCCAACAAAAAAGCACACAGGAGAGAAAAATTGAGTTTACTTGACCCTACTACCCAATTGCCTCTTTTCAATTTAGCATGCAGAGGTAAAAGAAAATTAAGATACCGGCCAAATAATGAAAATAAATCAAAAGACAAACAAAGTCAACTAACAGACCTGCAAAAAAATAAAAATAAAAACACACACTGTTACAAAAACCATCCCGATTATGCATACCTAAAATATAAATGCTCAAAATCTTGAACGCAAAACCCATTTGGGTTTCCTCAATTTGTCATCACCATAAGCAATTAAGCATTAATTCACAAAAAGGGAAGGTCAATTGTAAAAGAATTCAACGAATTCAACCTGATTTATCACAAACCCTAACTCATAAAGATCAAACAGAAAAACCCACAAAGGGGTCGTGGATTTAGAACAAAACATCACTGGTTTCAATGATAAACATCACGATCAAAACTTGCAAAACAACCAAAGAACTGAAAGAAACAAGTTTTCATCTTTAATACTCAAAACCAGCTATAACCCTTCAAAGAGATTTAAACAATACACCCAATATATATATATATATATATATATATAATTCAGTAGAAGCATACAACAAGAAGACACTGAGAGAGAGACAGAGAGAGAGTTACTGTGTGTAATTCTTCCTATCATTAGAAGCAATACAGAGCCGGCTAGTTCGATGGGAAGTGTTATTGAAGAAGAGAGAGGTTGTGTGTTGTTCGGGTCAAAGAAATAATAAAACCCATCTCTCTTTTTTCCAAGCTCAGCGACGACTGGACTGCGAGAAGCGCGACGACTGAGTGCTTGACTCGCTGTTTGATGGGGAAAAAAGAAACGTGAATTGGTGACTTCAGACTATCTTTTTGGTGCCTATTCACACTTGGCCCAATGGGGGATACAAAGGTGCACTAACACATGGTAAAGGTCTACCCAGTCAGATACGGCAAGAATATATTAAAAATTAATATATAATATTATTATATATAAAATAATTTTTGTTGATTTTATTCACCAACAAAAATACTATTTTGGATTTTAACCCCAAAAAAAAATACTAATTTGGAGTTTTAGACTAAGTCACGGTTTTAGAGTTAGGTTTTAGTTTTTACGTTTAATTTTAGATTATTTTATTCATTAACTTGTAATGGAGTATTTTAAAATTGTGCACATTCTTTTAAAAATATCTCATGTGTTATGTGAATTTGAACCGTTTTCCACGTATGTTTATATCGAATAGATATTCAGTATGTGCGGTACACCATATATTAAATTAATCTAATTTGTATATACACAACACGCGTCAACGCATTGACGCATACACAACACGAATTATTTACCCAAGGCACTGAATATTTATTAGTTTGAGTCGTGGAGTCTCGCTATAAAATAAGAAACCATGCATAAACAGTCACAATTTCTTGTTATGCAAACTCATGAAATCAAGCTAGAAGTTTCTCTTGTAAGGATAGAAAATTTGGAAGAATGGTAAGATTATAAAATAAAAATAATAAATTAACTAAAATAATAAATACAAAAATTTAAATATTGATAGATGGTATTTTTACTAATGTATTCATAAGTGTTCATGATAAGTTTAAATGGCGTTGCATCATTATTCAGATTATCGAATTAGTTGCATATGCAATATGTTAAAAGGATCATGGTCATAATCGTTTTTTTTTTTTTTTTTATAAGAAAATTCTAGTTTTTTCCCTGATCATTTACATACGTAGATTTTTTTTTGAGGTTACTGAATAATGTCCTATGTACCAACTTAGATAAATAATAATAATAATAATATAAATAAATAAAATTAAGTAGATGCAATTAACCTATTACTTGGCAGCGAACAAGCTGAGAGATTAACTTACTTGGGGGACACTTTTTGTGAAATAAAAGAGTAAATCTAAAATTAACAAAAGAAACAACTAAGATTGATTAAGGTTAGGGGAGGCAAAATTTGACATGATCAATCAATACGACTCGAATATGACATGAGATAAACGAGTTTGAATTTACTTTAAATGGGTTTGAATTATAAACGGGTTGACACGATTAATCCGTTTAATTAATAGTGTCGTGATAAGATTGAGGGGTTCAACACGTGCAACATGTTTAGACCAGTTTAACTAAGAGTTTTATAATCGTATTAATATCACTCTTGTAAATTATCACCAGTTTAGACCCAATTATTATGGATAAGTAGGTCAATTCAAAATAAGCCCTAACAAAAATATACATTAGCTCTTTAATTAATGTATTTTTTTTATAGTATTTATTATTTAATTAAGTATTATAAATAATCTAGATAATATAATGTTCGATTTTGATAAATAGATCATTAAACATGTTAACACGTCTAACCCGTTTAATAAATAAGTTTGATTAATGGTGAGGGTTTATGACATGATTATTAAATGAATGGAATTAGTATTGACCTCTTTATTAAAATACCTTTAAATTGATATTACACAATTTGACGCGCGAACATGAATTGACACTCCTAACGAAGAGAATTGTTTTGAACATTTTTTGAGAGGGCATATATTTACAATTACAAAATAATATGGCTACAGAAGTAAAATTATTATTATTATTAATAAAATTTATAATAATATTGATAGGGGCAACTGCCCAGTGGGCCCTACCTAACTCCGGCCCCAAGATGGAAAAAGATGAGTGGCCTCTTTATGTGAGAAAACGAAGTGTCTTGTTTCTTCTTTTCATTTGAATGTTTGATTGAGTAGAAAATAATGAAATGAATGGACCCTTTATTTAAGTAGGATGGTAGGAAAATGTTATTGAAGGTTTTGGACGTGTTCCGTGCAAGGTGCAATGAAAATTTATTTAGGATCCAGATTGATTTTGAATTTTAAAATTGATTTCATACATGTATATGCTCATAGTACACACATACAATTCACATATAACTCATGATTCACCAATATTCAATATATTCAGTATCTATTCCATATTAAACTCACCAAAGCGATGTGAGGAAGTCAACTCAAAAAAAAGATTTGTGAATTTGTGATAGACTTTGCTTTATTAATTTTTTATTTTTTTTAAAGCTTAAAACATATGGACAGCAATATGTCCATTTGTCCCAAATTGCACAACATTCAGGTCCATTTTTATCGAGGAAGTTGGAAGCAAAGAGAAGAAAGGCAAATGATGACAAATTTAACCATTTTTGTTTCAAATTAATTAGAAAAATGAAAATAAAGGATTCTTAGCCATTTTGGTAGTATTTTTATCCTCAATAAGTATAAATTGATAAATTTTTAAAATTCTATATAATCGATTTTTTTTTTCAATGGACAAATAACACATTCATGCACATACTTTTTTATCCATACTCATTGTCGAACCCTACCCCCTTCTTTAAAGATGAGAGAGGTTATAACATTAGGCTAAATGTCCATTGATTATATAAAAATTTTAAAATTTTAACAATTCATCCCCTCACAAAAAATAAATACGGAGTAAATAAATAAATAAAAATTTTAAGAAGATGGGACCATTAAAAATAAATAAAAAAATCTCTTCAAATCTTGGCACGCCTTTTTCACAATTAAGCCATGATGACATTTTTCCAACAATCTTGTCACTTTGCACTACTTTTCTCTCCCTACCATTATTCTTTCTCCACTATAGAAACTGTGGGCTTGCAAAATAGAGAATTAAAAATCAGAAAATTTTAAAAATATTTTGCTTGTTTTAATTTTTTTTAAATTTAGTTATAAAAATACTGATTTTTATAGAACCAAATTTTATATAATTCTTTAAAAACAGTTTTCTATTTTTTGAATTCTTTATAATTGTTTTTATAATTACGACCCAAACAAACCTTATTTCTCTTTTTATTAGTCTCTATTTTTACACTTTTCCCTCTCTTTTCAACATATATATATATATATATATATATATATATATATATATATATAAATCCTCTCTTACAATTTCCTTGTTCTTATTTCAATTCATTATGCTCCGATGCTTTTTTTTTTTTCTCTATTTTTCTCTCTCTTTTCTTTTTTCCTTTTTTTTTTCACTTTCCTTTTATCCTACTTGATAAAAATTGAAAATTAGGGGAATCCATTTCATCTGTAATTCGATTTGATCTGTCCAGATTTATGAATTTGAGTTCCGAAAATTCAACCCGATCTGTTGCCTCTGTCTGTGTGTGTGTATAAATTTTAACCTTAAACTAATGTTTGACATTTTAGTCACTAGTGTTTTTTATGTATTTGGACTAAAAAAAAGAAAATTTAAATATTGTGCTCTTTATAAAGTCCAATTCGTAACCAATTTGATGTTTCGCGAATTTAATTTGATTAAGACTTTCATTGAATTCAAAATTTATAAAATCTTAGAATCAGATTGAATTTATTTTTATTTTATGAATCCGTTAAAATTATATTAAATTTGATTTTATGTCTAATCCAATCTGTGTGCATTGCTAACTTACAAGGATGACAGAAAACAAATACTTAGGGCAATAAACATCTCACAACACTACCCTTTGGAAAATAATAAAAATAAAAAATCTCACAGCACTATAGCCTACATTTGAAGGACCACTTGCTCAACCACAAAACTTAGACCAGTGTAAAGACAATCTACTTTCTTCCCACTTGGCTACGAACGATCTTCCAACATACACATGACAAGAGTTGTGAGGCAAGCAGTGAACAACACTAGAAGAGTGTTCGCTCAATTGAATGTCCAATAAGCCGATACTTAAAGAGTCAATAACACTTTAATTGGCATTGAGACTAGTTTAATTTTAATTTCTGATCTCTTCACAATGTAAAGTTGTCATTTCCACGGGTTAAGAATCGATGTAAAAGTGTTGCAGAGTAGTACTAATTACAGTAGCATAAGTGGTCATTACACATAGTTCACTCCTAACTAATTAAGATTTTTAAAATAACACGTTAATTAATTAAATATCTCCTACCATATTTTAAATATAAATATATAGGATAAAAATGCCAATTTACACTCTCGTTTTTTTCTCTCTCCCCTCACTCGGTATCACATATGCATAAGAATCAACTTAAGAGTGAAGAAATAATTAAAAAGATACTTTTATCCTATAAACTTAAGAGAGAAGAAATAATAAAAAAAGACACTTGTATCTTATAAATTTATATTTTTTTAGTAGCCCCATGATAGGAGACATTTAATTAATTAACGTGTAATTTTAAGAATTCTAAACATTTAAAAGCATCTCTGCCCGTTGTCTATATATATATATATATATATATATATATATATTGTAAATGTGATGTATCATGATAGATTTACACAAAAATTAAAAATATATCCCTTAATAATAACCAACCATGTGTCATGCCAGGACCCTACATAATTTTTACAAACCTACCTAATGTATGGTTGATTCTTTAATAAAATGAAAAAGAGAGAGGATGAAAAAAATATGCTGATGTGCTGTGTAAAATACACAACAATTTTACACATTGGTGATGTGACTGTTGGAGATAAAAAATAAAAAATAAATTACTATCTTAGAGTGCTATTATTTACAAGGATAGTTGCACGACTCCAAGACTTCTGTTCTAGGTCATGCATAACATTGCCTCAACAACTATGATTAAATTCATTTTTCAACTCCAAATTCAAATCCCCAAAAAAATTGATTACTCAAATTATTTTATTTTCATTTTCATTTTCTTGATCTTAGAAACCACGAAACACTTACCTCAAACATCCAATATTTTAACATTGAAAATGTAACACCATTTCGCAACAGTTGAGAAATATAAAGGAAATTTTTTTAACAAAAAAAAAAAACTCTACTTAATTATGCATATTTTAAAATATGCTTAACTTTTTCAAATTATTAGGTTTGATTATCAATTTTATGAAACTAAGAGCAGGTCCAATGGACAAAATTTCGGCGATTTTGGGCCAGATTTGAAGATTGGACTGCTCCAATGGGGTAGCCAAAAATTGGGCCCCACCCATTGGATAGCGGAATGGGTCGCTGTATTCCGCGACACTGTTGGCGATTCGTGGGCCTACCATGCGGGCCCGCATCAGTTTTCTTTTATTTTTTTAATTCTGACCCAAATAATGTTTTAGCCCAGAACACTGTTCATAAGGGCATGTTTGCCTAGAAAAAAAAAACAGATTTTTGGTTTCTTTTTGTCTCTTTTTTTTCTCTCAAAATAATTGAACCAGAGAGCCGTTAAGGCACTATTTGGCTGACCCAAACAGTGCCATAAAGGCTTTTTTGAGCAAAAAAAAGTTTAAAAAAGATAGAGAAAAGTGTTTTTTTTTTTAATTTAGTTTTTAAAATATTCCTATTAACATATAGTCGTTTTAGGTACTGTTTGGCTGACCCAAAGAGTGTCTTAATGGCTATATTGGCACAAAAATCTATTTTTAAAATAATTATATACATATTTATTTATTTTAAAAAAACCTTTCATTGTTTATTTCAAATATGATTTTTTTATTAAAAAAAAATATATGTCTTTGTTTTCACTATAAATTAATAAATAAAATGATATTAATCAAGATTTCATACATATTGGCTAAATACTTTATTCAACAAACAATTTAATTATTTATTTCAAAATAAAACCTTACACAATAAATATTACATTACATAAACTTCATAACAATTTTAAAATAAAATAATGCAACATAAATTAAACACGTGTTTCACCAAAGCGGTTCCACAAATTTTCAATTAAATCTTTCCTCAACCGCGTATTTGTCTCTTTGTTACGAATTTGGACTTGGTGAAAGTAAATGTGTGCCGCTAAGATTGATGGATTTTGAATTAAAGTGGGAATCGAAATTGTCTCCTCTGGTGGCAAAGTTTATCTTCCAACATTGGCATGGCGCTCATCTTCAATGATCATGTTGTGAAGGATGATGCACGTTTTCATTATAAGGCACAAGTCCCCTTTATCCCAAAAATGCAATGGTCCTTGTGTTATTGCCCAGTTGCTTTGCAAGACCCCAAAAGCTCATTTCAAATCTTTCTTACAGGCCTCCTGTCTCTGAGCAAAAAGTTGTTCTTTTGCTGTAGTTAGGTGCGGGATGGTCTGCATCAAAGTTGCCCACTTAAGGTATATATCATTAGATAGGTAATACCCTATTGTATGGTAATGGCCATTCACAATGAAATTAACTGGAGAAATTTGGCCAATAACGATACTGTCGAATACCGGAGAATACCAGAGAATGATCCAACACATTAATATCATTGTGTGAACCAGGCATTCCAAAGAATGCATGCCAGATCCACAAATCTTTTGAGGCAATCGCCTCCAATATGAGCATAGGCATATGAGAGTGTCCTTTATGTGTGCCATGCCACTCCACGCCACTGGACAATTCTTCCACTCCCAGTACATATAGTCGATAGAACCAAACATACCCGGGAATCCTCTCTCCTTCCCTTCTTGAAATAGTCGTGCTATGTCGACTTCGTTCAGTGGGCGCATGTACTCTTCCCCACACACACTAATAACAGCCTTACAAAATGTCATCAGAGCTTCAGTAGCAGTGCTCTCACCGATTTTAATATACTCGTCACAATGATTGGCTGCACAACCATATGCGAGTATACGTATTGCAGTTGTCATCTTTTGTATAGAAGACAACCCCAAACGACCATTGCATCCCTTTTTTTGGATGAAGTAGTCGTCATAAGCTTTAACATCATTCATGATACGAAGAAATAGTTTTCGTCGCATCCTGAATCGTCTGTGAAAGTACTTCGGTGGATATATGCAATTCTTATCAAAGTAGTTTTTCATTAGTTGGCGGTGGCTTCCTTCTTGATCACGATGAATGTACCGCCCCTTACGTAGTTTAAAAACTTGCTCTACTATCTCTGGCTTCACTGAATTCAAAATCTCACGAAAGCGTCTTGATTATGTTGAATCATCGAGTCAATAACATTATCTGATGAAGAGGATGATGATGAAGAAAATGAAGAATTAGAGCCTGACAAATGAAAAAATCATGATGAGGAAGCCACTGAAATTTTGAAATTGAAAGAGATGTGAATTGATATTTTGTTAGAATAAGTTAAGATGAATGTAATAACGATGGGATGAACAAATGGTTGTTTATATAACATGAAAAATATAGCCATTATAAATATAGCCGTTAGGAAAAAGTTAAAAAATAAAATTTATTTTAAATTTTAAAAATATTAAAATATTAATATTTTTGGAGAGTGAAAATGCATCGTTGGAGTACATCCGATAGCTAAAATTTAGATATTCTAAAACGCTGACGTGACTATGGAAAAATGCTGATGTGGCAAATTCGGAGAGCCTGAATTCGGAGAGTCCATTGGAGATGTCTTAATTACAGAAGTATACAAAAATACTATTTAGACTTTTTAATTGTCCAAAATGCCATTGTCTCTTCTGAAAGTCCGATACCCTCCAAGTTCAGAAACTCCATTGTTTCTAGTAACGAACTGCAACAGATAAAACGGTGAGTTACACCGCTCCATTCGTCACGCTAATATATAATCCATTTTCTAAGTTGTCCTCAAAATTATCTCAAGCGAAAGAGTTTCTTCTAATAGCCAAAGGGATTTGAGACAAAAAGGTTATAAACCCAAATTAGAGAATCGTTTGGCTATTGAAATTGTGCTATTTATTGATCAATTCATTGATTCAAAATTGTCTGTACTTAATAGAGTTGATGATATATTTCTCGCCATTTATAATTAATTATTATATTTTTTTTTCCTCACTCAGAAGAAATTAGAGGAGGAGAAATTGAGGAGAAAATGGCAGCGGCGATTTGGCCCAGACGGTGAGTAATAGTGCAAGAGGAGTTGGTGGTCGCAGAGTATCGGAGACATTTGACAGGGGCAGCCGAATGAGTTTGAGCAGAGTAGCCGCACGGCAGGTGGGGAACGACAAGGAGCATGATTCGGGTCTAGTAACGGCATAACGAATGGATGAATTTCTGATGAGGACGGCGGTGGTGCAACTCACTGTAATACCCCTAATTTTAAAAATGATAGTCCTGGCATTTATTTTAATTATGTATGTGTGTTTTTACTAAATTTATTGTTTAAATTGTATTTTGTTTGTTTAAATAAATTGTTTGCTGGATTAATTGCATTACTTGAATTAAATTGTTTTAAATATTTGGTTAATAAATTATTTGCTTGATTATTTGCATTTCGTGAATTAATTGTTTAAATAAAACTGTTTTAGGTTAATTGGTTATTTAATTGTGTTTCTTAAGTTTTCTTAATTACGTGCTTATGTAAAATTAACTGTTTTATAATTTACGGTTTAGTTTATTTAGCTGACTATTTGGCCGACACAGGTTTTAATTATGTTTTATGGGCCGGTTAGGATTTAGTTAGGGCTTGAATTAATTTAGGGTTTGGTATAACTCTATAAATATATGGGTATACATCTGCCTAGGGTTTTTGATAAACCCTACTCACCACCTTCAATAACAGAGTCGTACAAAGAGTTGTGAGGGCAGAGAAACAGAGAGGGAGCTTGTGTGGTTTACTAAGAGAAACTTTAGGAGATTAAGGGAGGGATTCAAGGAGGAATTCTGGTCCTAACTAGGAGTGGCAGAGGTTGATAACAACAAGTTGACGTTGCCGGAATTTATAGAGACGGTGAATTATAGTTTCAATTCTGAAACTGCAGGCAAGTTTTGTTCTTCTCTATCTCTTTAATCTGTATTCTGTGCATGTTTAGGAAGACTCCAGGGATTAATCAAAGATTAAAATAGATGAAACGAATGTATGATTCATCTAATATGCAGGTTTAAATCAGTTTTTAGTTCCACTGAATTAAACTGTTTAGTGTTGATTTAAAGTGCTAACTAAAATCTTGTTGCGGATTGTTTTTAAACCTGGTGTTAAATTCTTGTTGTGAATATATATTTATGTTTGAGGATTGGTCTGAGACATTAAACGAACCCTTGAATACGTAATTAACACAGTATTGAATTTTCACCAAATTAATCTGTTGTGGGTTGCTTAAAGTTTCAGACTAAGGTTCTGTGATCGTTGCTTCAAAACTTATGTTACATGCATGTTATCATTGAATATCAGTGATTTAATATGTACCTAGGACTGAGATTGAACCTAGAATAAGAATTAAAACATACTACAGAGGCTCTGGTAATCACCGGAATTGGAGAAGATAAAGCTGGAACGGACAACGGCTGTTAGGGGAAAAGAGAGCAGGCTCTCAAATACCTTAGAGCCGGCTCCAAACTTATTTGGAGGCATCTCCAAGTGTCTTTGAGCCGGCTCTAAGTGGTTTAGAGCCGGCTCCAAAAGAAAAATAGAGCAGGCTCCAAATTTTAGAGCCTGCTCTATCTTAAAACACACAGAATTGATGTTTTAAGGACTTTTGGCTGAAATTGATTTTTTTAAAATTATTTAAACGCTACTGGATGTTGTAATTTAATGTTTAAGACTTGTAAGAATGTTGGGAAGCATGATTACAAGTAGGAATTGAGGACGGGGTTAATCTAAGATTAAACAGTGAACCCGTGGGTGGATGATTTGAAAATTAATTTCTATTGTCTACTATTTTTGGAATTTTATTTCTCTGCATGACTTGGATTTATAAATCATGTTTTGCAGCTGTGTTATAAGCATACTGTTGTATAGTTATATGTATGCTTAGTTGGGATCAACTGGTGTTAAAATCTGTTTTACATTGCATCAGTTATGGTACTGTTTGGAGAGGTAGATTCTGTAATTCTACTTAATAAATTTAACGGACTGTAATTGGGATTCTAGATCTTATATTGAATGCATAAGTTGGTTATATACATGTTAAACTATATTTATGCTAATTCTGGAGTATGGTTGATGAATACTTATTCCTGTTTTTGTCAACTTCGTTAATTGGAGGATTATATATACCTGTATGGGACGGTAACATACTAGGTATGGATTAGTTCAAGTACTATATCCTACCTAATTTGGAATGAGTCGGATTAACCATAAAAAGGTTAAGTCTTACTTATATGGATATATATATGAACCGGTATGGGATGGTGTCATATTAGGGGTGGATTAGTTCAAAACACTAAGTCCTACCAAATTTGGATTAAGGTATGGATTAACTTTAAATGTTAAGTCCATCACCTACTTGTTTCATGTCAATCAAATAAATTGAATGACCTATTGTGGTTTCAGGATGGATTTGTTATACATATATCAGACCACTATACAGATGGATGATATTTTGTATTAGGAGTACGGACTTTATATATTTATTTTATGTGCCATGGTATGAGCTTGAGTCTCAGGACCATGGTTAGGGCGCGTATATCGCCTAGGATGGATAACTGGACACAGGTGTTGTTCCGTGGTAGGTCTAGGTACTCATGCCCACCCTAGGGTGCGTATTCGCATGTTGCCTTCTATTCAGGCTGAGACAAACCTACTGGACTAGCGAGCGTCCTATAGTGTGTACTATATACATATATTGACTACTTTAGATATTGTTGAGTCTTCCTAGGATGTATCTGCGTATCGGATTACTGTTTAGATTGTAGTAGATCAGGACTTGCATGTGGGCCTAACCCACTCTTTTTTTTTCAGGTGTTCGTCAGTTCCAGGGTTAGAGCTTGGACGTGCAGAGCAGATACATATATTCATTTCTTCGATTATGTAGGAATCTTCTCTATGATAGTTGTAGATTTTATTTCTATTATTTCAATTTTGGTTTGAGAATTTTAATAAGGGGTCCAATGGATGGATTCCCGAGTTGTAAACGTATGGAGTTTTGGATTATCAGATTTGATTAATTATGATTCAAGGATTTCCTTTTAGTTTCTTTCAGTTCTTAAATTTTAATTCTTACTCAATTTGTATTCTGTGTTTATTTTAAAATATTAATTGTTTGATATCCCTCGGGTTTGGGCCTGAGCTTGATCAACCCGTATCTCGGATCCGAGGGGTATCACACTCACCGTTTTATCTGCTGGAGTTAGTTGCTGAAAATAATGGAGTTTCTGAACTTGGGAGGTTGTCAGATTTTCGGAAGAGACAAGGGCATTTTGGACCATTAAAAAGTTTAAATACTGTTTTTGTATACTTTTGTAATTAATTTGATAAAATTGGGAAAGTTAGCATATTTTAAAATATGAATAATTAAGTAGGGTTTTTTAAAAAATTTCCTCTACATTTCTCAAAGTGTTGCGAAATGGTGTTACATTTTCAATGTTAAAATATTGCATGTTCGGGTAAGTGTATCTTGGTTTCTAAGAGTAAGAAAATGAAAATGAAAATGAAAATAAAATAATTTGAGTAATCAATTTTTTTTGGGGGATTTGGAGTTGAAAAATGAATTTAATCATGGTTGTTGAGGCAAGGTTCTGCATTACCTAGAACAGAAGTCTTCAAAGAATGGACCTCTTTTATGCTATTTTTTCTCATTGTATCTTTTGAGTTGACGAACCTTTCTTTTTATAGGAGTTTATTAGGTGGTGATGTTTAACTATCTTTTGAGTTAAACTATCTTTACGTTCTTAATTTAAAAGATAAATCAAAAAGTGTAGTGTGATTCCGTATAATTTGAATTTCTCAAGATTACTTATCAATATGATTCTATTTGCACCTTTGGAATGATCTGGAATTTGACAAAAAAAAAAACAATTGTCCATTTTAGAATTAAAAAATTTGAAAAAATTAAAATAAAAAAAACAATTGTCCATTTTAGAATTAAAAGATACAAAAGATTTAGAATGAAAAGGTACAAAAGATGTGAAAGAAATTTGTATAATGAGAGATGTGCAATGATGGTAAATTAAACAATTAATCTTAATTGGTTAACAAATTTCCTTTCTCAAAATTTTCTCAACTTCTGAACCTAACAACATTTATTTTGAAATCCCTCCGAGTCCTCCTGAGGTACAAATACATTGTAAAAATATGAATTGAAAACAGAGGCATAAAATATATTTTCTACTTCTTTTTGAAAAATATGTTACAATGATAACTTGCGATATTGTATTTTTGTCCCATATATACACTATTCTTTCATTTCACATGCCCTCTCTCTTCAGTTTTCCGGATTCAATTTCCCGCCAAAAATGAAAATCTCAGAGCTATCCTCGCCGGATTTCCGTCCGAGCATCCACGAACCCCAATCTCACGTACTCTCACAAATCGAGTCCTCGATCAGAGAACTCGAAAGCCACTTGCCGGGAGCTCCCTTGCCGGAGGCTCTCTCCTCCGACCTCCGACTCAGATTGACTCAGCTGAGTTCACTCTCACCGTTCCCGAACTCGGTCAAGCTCCAGATATGGAAACTCAGCTACCGCCTCTGGAACTCCTGCGTCGACCTCAACAACGCCGCCGGCGTCCGCTCCTCCGGTCAAAAGGTCGGCGAAGAGCACGCCACTCTCCGGCAAGTATCCGCCGATTTGCTCTTCCTCGCCGGCGGCGTGACCGGAATCCCCTCGCCGGCGTTCAAGTCGGCCTCGTTCTACTACAAAACCGGCCTGATCTGGCACGACCTTCGCAAATTCGATTTCGCCAGCAATTGCTTCGAGAAAGCCACTGATCTCACCTCGAACATCGAGATAAGCGCCATATCCGATCACGAAGAGCGAAAACTTCTCTTGGATCTGAATATAGCGAGATCGAGAACGGCTTGGGAGATATCGGACCGAAATTTAGCAATTACGCTACTGAATCGCGCGAAAAATGTGCTTTTCGGATGTGCAGAGAACTGCAAAACGCTTGCGAACCAGTTCTTGGTGTTCGGGAAGATTGTGTTGGCGAAGAACGAGGTATCAAGCGTGAATGAAGCGTTGAAGTTGATGAACGAAGCGTTAGATTTATGCGAGAAGGGGTTGGGGATTGTGAAGAGGCAAGACGAAGCCCTAGGATTAAAGGAACTGAGATCGAAGACGCTTAGGTTCATTGCGGCCTCACACCTGCAGAGAGATGAGTTCGAGAGTGTATTGAAGTGTGTGAGGATTTTGAGAGATGGTGGTGGCGGAGACAACCACCCGAGCTTGAGTGTGCTGGCGATGAAGGCATGGTTGGGGTTGGGGAGGTACGGGGAGGCCGAGAAGGAGCTGAGAGGTATGGTGGTGGATAAGGGGATTCCGGAAGGTGTTTGGGTGTCGGCGGTGGAGGCATATTTTCAGGCTGCAGGAGCAGCAGGGGCGGAGACGGTGAAGGGCTTGTTTTTGGGGTTGCTGGGGAGATGCCACCTCAGTGCTGGCGCAGCAATTAGAGTGGTACACAGGGTGGTTGGGGATAGTGTCAGCGGTGAGGGGTCAAAGGTGAGGGCAAAGGTGGTGGCGGAGCTTGTGTCAGATGAGAGGGTGGTGGCACTTTTCGCCGGCGAGGCAGCAACAAAGGAGAGGTCAGCAATGCATGCTGTTCTGTGGAACTGGTAGGTTCAAAATACCTTTCTAGGCAAAAATGCACACTCTCATGCTTAATTTTTCATGTTTGTGGCTGAATTGTAGACTTTAGCAATTAATAATCAAAGCATGCCACCTACTTATGTTAGGATCTTTCACAGGAGCATAAATTAGTATAACTACACCTTATGTAGCATATTTGCTGGAACTATAATTTATGATAATCTGGGTTTATCAGCACAATGCTGTGAAAGCAACCAAGTTGTCTGGAAATAGTGTTTGGTAGGAAGAAAACCTGTTGTTTGCAGACTCTGCAGTTAAATTAACTTTAGACAGAAATATTTAGTGACCTGCAAAGAGCCTCCAATTGTAATTTTTATTTGTTCAGTTCTGGATCAAGCAGAAGTTAGATGGCATGTGTAGCTAATGCTTTGAGATCATTGCCTATGTATGCATCTTATTTGGATATAAATAGCCTTGCTTTGAGTATTGCCTATTAGAGTATTAGTGTTATTTGGACATAAATAGCATGCTTTATGAATTGAGCTTCTTAGTATTTGTAGCTGTTACCTGAAATTTGAAACACAATAGAGGTGAACACAAGTTACATTTCACTTTGTGAACAAGCCATTAGCCATTTAATACCAATACGTGGAACTATGTTTTTTATGCTAAAAATGAAGTTCTATCTATCAACATCCTGTACATGGCCCAAATGTTGCTTCATGTGTTGGTTTCATACATTGTTGTTGATGTTTTCTGCTTATTTTCCCCAAGAATTATTACTTTTAGTCTTTTTTCTTGTACAAGAATTTGATAAACACTCCCTGGTTCCATTTAGATGAAGCAATTCAATCAGACGCAATATGGCTGAAAAGAAATTCTGTTGCAAAATTAAGAAAGTAGATCTTGACTATTCTTTCTTCCATTTCCTGATGGATACATTTATGTCTTGATGGATGAATACAACAATAATAAAAACCTGAATAGATGAATAGGAAGATGATCCTCTTGAAGTTTCCTTCAAGATGGAAAACAGTAAATGGAGCTGATATCACCTACAAAGTTTTTTGCACATTTTTCAAAAAATAATCTGATATCACTTACTAGCAAGGCTTGTTTATCATTGGTAACACAGTCCAACCAAGGCAATGTTCTCTCATGCATGACAATATATGGATCTGTACATTCTAAGGCACCTCAGCTTCTTGTAAGCTTGGGGGCATGCTTGTTCTCATGTTCATGACACAGTTGGAACACTCAATTTTCCATATTGTAAGATACTTCGAGAAATTAAAAGACACACCCTTGCTTCTGGTGTTACAGAAAGGATATTCTCTTGAAAAAAAATATTAAACTACCTATTAATAGGCGACTTTTCCCAGATGAGTTTATTTATAGTGATTTGTTTATTCTTCTTATGCAGTGCTGCAGATCATTTTCGAGCAAAAGATTATGGGATGAGCGCGGAGATGTATGAGAAGTCCATGCTTTACATTTCCTATGATGTAGAGCATAGAATTCTTCGAGCAAAGGGTTTTAGAGTTTTGTGTCTCTGCTACCTAGGTCTCACCCAGCTAGATCGTGCTCAAGAATACATCAATGAGGCTGAAAAAGTATACTAAAAAAAGCTAAATGCTGGAATTTCGTTCATTATCATGAGTAAAATGATAATATATTTTCCTGATGCTTTTCTTTTCGTCCTTTTCCATTTTTCCTCCCTTCTGTTTTGCAGCTTGAACCCAACATAGCCTGTGCTTTCCTAAAGGTGCTCTGTCTCTCTCTCTCTCTCTCTCTCTCTCTCTTGCGCGCGCGCGCACACACACACACATGGATGTATGTTAATGACATATGACACATGCATCCCTGTAAGATTAATTCATGGTTTAGCTAAAACTTGACATTTTACTGATTAATGCAGTTCAAGATCTTTCTGCAAAAGAATGACCACAATGGCGCCATTACTCAGGTTCAAACAATGGCAACCTGCGTTGACTTCACTCCAGACTTCCTCTCCCTCTCAGCCCATGAAGCTGTTGCTTGCCGTGCTCTTCCTGTTGCTGTTGCCTCTCTATCCAATCTCCTGAATTTTTGCTCAGGAAAATCCACGCCAACAACAGAAGTCGTTGTTCTAAGAACCCTAGTTACAATCCTCACTCAAGACCCTGGCAATGAGTCTGAAGTCCTCAAATATACAAAACGGGTGCATAGTCGGGTATCTGAGCTTGGACCTGACAGGTTCTTTGGAAAATGTGAAGTTGGGAGACGGGAAAGGAATTGGTTTGCAGTGAATTCATGGAATATTGGGGTAAGGTCTGGGAAGGAGAAAAACTTTGAATTGTGTGCAGAATTTCTTAGATTGGCATCGGAGTTTTATGGTTTTCTGGTTGATGGGGAAGTGGAGGGAAACACTGTGATGGTCTGTAAATCATTGATATTGACTGTATCTGCCATGGTAACTGCTGAGAAACGAAAGCAGGTCATGTTTTTGGACACTGAAGTCAAGCAAGCCATCGACATGCTAGAAAGAGCTGGAAAGGTAAAATATCAAAGAGTTGATTGTTTCAAATTGCTTTAGATCTAAATTTTCTGCTTCCCAATTACTATATATATTATAAATATAAATCGATTTTATATTTCCTGTCTGAAATGAGTTAAATTTCATGGTATAATATTCTCATGTAATGGCATTCACTCATGGATACAGATCCTAATCTCGATCTCACCTGGGACCCAATCAGATGACAACGAAGTCACCATTGAGCCCAACTTCTTCTTTGTACACACCTTGAATGCTTACGATCTACATGCAAGGCTCAATGATATGGGGTCCCAACAGCTCCTCCTGGTGAAGAGCTTTGCCACCTCAAAGGCTTGCAATCCGAATTTTCTTCTTCACATTGGCCTTTATGCCTCGCAGGGTCCAAGGTCTAACCTTGATGTAGCCATCTTTGCCCTAAATACCTGCCTCTCTGCCTTCCTTGCTTCCCCATCACCGGATTACCTAAATGTTGCACTCATTGTCAGGAAACTAATTTGTGTAGGAGCCATTCATAAGGGTGATACAGATGATGATGTGGTGTATGAAATGTACAAGCAGGCATACAGAATTATGGTAGGTTTGAAGGAAGGGCAGTATCCCGTGGAAGAGGGTAAATGGCTTGCCATGACAGCATGGAACCGGGCAGCTCTGCCTGTGAGGTTGGGTCATACGGAGGCAGCAAGGAAATGGATGAATATTGGGTTGGAACTGGCAGGGAAGGTTCCGGGGATGCAAACTTATAGGTCATGCATGGAAGATTTTGTTGCCGTCTTTGGGAAGAAATTTCGTGGCCATGATAGTAGTGAAAGCAGGTCTCAAGTATTAGTATGATGGGTAGATCTTTAATGTTGTACAGAAGATAGGGGTAGTGTAGCTATAGGTCTTACCTTATACAAACCACCAGGCTAATGTAATTCTAGTTGTATATGATTCCAGTTCAGCTTTTATTTCTCGGTGCATATTTTCACCCTCAATCTGGTTTGTATATTGTTCCGATGACTTCAATTTTTTTCTTGGTGTGACGGCCAATTTTGCCATTTGAATGCCAATTGGTTTAGGACCAAATTATGCTATTCTTGCAACTCTTTTGATGCCCCCTTTGGGGCAGATAATAGGATCCTTCCTCGATGTCAGGGATCTCTGTCTTGGCTGCATCCGTTAAAGTAGTGAACTTTTACTTATGTGATGAGATACAATTGATTAAAGACATGGATGGCATAGTATCACCGATACGGAGAAGACTTGCTCCTCCCTCGGGACTAAAGCGCTCACATTTGAAGGCTTCAAACAGGCCTCCTTTTAGGGCCTGAACCAAGTGATTCAGATAACTACATGTCAAATGTAGAAGCTATGAAGGCAAACTACATTGTTTCTGTTTTAGAAAATGTATATCAATTTATGGCATTTTCCTTGCCGGTTAAAAAACACACTTCTGTGCTTTGGGCCTCCAGGAGTTGCACCAAAATTGGCCAGCATTTTGGTGCCTTACCTAGCTGCTTCTCTTTAGTTGTTTTGTTGCTTTGTTTCTCTGTTTTAGACAATCTTTATAAAAAACACACTTCTGTGCTTTGGGCCTCCAGGAGTTGCACCAAAATTGGCCAGCGTTTTGGTGCCTTACCTAGCTGCTTCTCTTTAGTTGTTTTGTTTCTTTGTTTCTCTGTTTTAGACAATCTTTATAATTTTTTTTTTTTTTTTGGGAGTACTGGTTTTCAATCACACTCTTTTAACTACCACACAATATGGAGTGCATGTGAAGTGGAGCAGTGTAAATTATAGTTATGATCCTATGTTAATGTCATGGTTTTGTTCTTGAATCTCTTGTTCGTTTCAAATTTTATGAATAGAGTTCATACCATAACCATGTAATTGGATTTGAATTGAGTTGGTTCTTGGGCCTCTTGCATTAAAACCATCTATTCGGTGTACTAAAAAATATATATTCAATCATATTAAATTCGATACTAGGATTATAAATAAATTTAAAAAGAATAATAATTTTTTAATTGAAGAGTGATAATAAAAAGAATAATGATTATTTAATTGAAGAGTGATACTATGGAGTCTGTCAGTCGGATAATTTTGACTATTTTTGATGTGAATGAAACGAACATTGTGAACCATTGAATACAGATATAGAATCAAATCAATTTCAAAATTTTGTTTAGATATTCTTCAAATTTTCAACTATTTACAAAACGAGATAAACACATAATTTGTTTTTTCACAATGAATAACATTCCTCTTAAAAAAAAAAAAAAAAAAAAAAAATTGTAAAAATTACAAAAGAGGAGAATTATTAGATGATGGTCTTCTCACAAAATAAACCACTTTCAAAATAATTTTTCACTATCAAAACAGATGTCTGATATTGAAGTTTCCAATTTTGGAAGGATTTAAGCTTCCAAGAACCAAAAATGAAACAGAATAAAATGACTTGGACCTCCAAAATAATCAAACCACTTGAATCTAGCAACCCCACTGAGCTTAAATGGTTTCTTTTCGGGTCGCTATAAATCGCGCCCAACATCTTATCGTCTCTTATCAAACTGAAAACCCCTCCTCTCTCTCTCTCATGGAGTCTCTTTCCATAGGCGTCTCATCTTCCCCGCCTTTCCCAAATCACCCCAAAACCCACAAACCCACCTCACAATCTATTCTCATTCTCTCAAATTCCCTCCCAAACTCCATTTCCACCTCCAATTCCACTCCCATTTCCTGTAATTCTCATCAAACCAAATTTCTTTTCACCATGAAAAACCCTAACATACATAAAACACACACACCAAATCACCAACCAAACAAAACCTCAACAACCCATTTCTTGAATCTTTTCAAGAACCATCCTCTAATCCTCAAAAACCCTTCCCTTTTCCAATTTTTTCTAAAACCCCATATCTCTTTTCTTTGTATGGGACTCTCTTTTCCTCTTTCATGCTTTGCTTCTGAAACTAGTCTGTCCACTGAAGAAGTTTCAAGCAAAATAAACTTGGAGTCGATCTTAGTTTCTATAGATGATTTTTTCAATAGAAATCCATTTTTTGTTGCTGGGGTTACATTCATTTGGTTGGTTGTAATCCCGCTAACCCAAGAGTACTTGGAGAAGTTCAAATTTGTTTCAGCCATTGATGGGTTTCGGAAGCTCCGGGATGACCCCAATTGTCAGCTGTTAGATATCAGGGACAAAAAGAATTTGAAGTATTTGGGTTCACCCAATTTGAAATATTTGAATAAGAGTGTGGTGCAAGTGGAGTTCTGTGAAGGGGATGAAGGAGCTTTTGTGAAGAAGGTAATGGAGAAGTTCCCGCAGCCCGCAGATACTACCATTTGTATTCTAGACAGGTAAGTTTCATGGCTTCTACTTTTGGATTCTTCTATGTGTGTGTGTGTGAAGAATTACAGTATTGTTTGCTATAATTGACTAGCGATGATCTCATTTTTATAATAAATTGAATGAACATTAAACGATTGATTCAGACTTGAGAAATCATAATTGATGATATTTGCATATTCGGCCCAAATGCTTAATTTAAGAGAAAGGTCATGAAGATTTTATTTTATTTTATTTTTACTTTTTTACATGTCTCTCATTATTTGGGACCCTATATACCACTCTGGGCTTCTATTTAATTGAGAAATAGATTTGATTGTCCATATTTTTTATATAGAGAGAATCTTGCTTTGAAGGCTCAACATGCCTTGTACTTTTCTGCTACCTAGTTTTTACCCATCATTACCATTCGTTTGTCTTCGTGTAGTTCTGCCACTTTTCTTCTGTAGTCTTCCTTTCCTGACTTGAACAGCTTTCGAGCTTACTTCGAGTCCATGGGGCTTCCTTAACAGAAGGGACAAGCACGGGAAAGTATATTCAATCCAAACAGGATTTTTATAATAAATTGAATGAACATTAAACGATTGATTCAGAATTGAGAAATTTTAATTGATGATATTTGCATATTCAGCCCAAATGCTTAATTTAAGAAAAAGGTCACGGAGATGAGAAAATTGTTGCTTAAACATGGTGAATTTTGGATTTATATTACTAGATTAAGTTTGGTTGCTCTGAGCACAGCGGTGAACTGTTAATCTTTAGAAATCCATACTACTAAAAAGAATCATGAGCTCCAAAGGAAGAAATAGAATATTGTATTTAGGGGAGATGGCAAAGAGTTGGGTTGCGAAGTTTACTTTTGGAATACACAGAAGTTCAAATTGGATCATTGCATTTATGGTGCAGAATGTTTCCAATAAGTAACAGCTGCAATAGAATAGAACATGTAAATCAGGGATCAGAATATTTTTTTGTTTCTCTTTTGTGGATTTAAGAAGATCAAATATGATATAGATATGTTCTCTTCAATTTTATGTTTCTGGGTGAAAATTTTGAACCAATAAAAAAAAAAATTACAAATGATTATAAGGTGTATCTTCTACTATGCAGTAAGATATCAATGCAATATGAGATTAATGAGACATGGCATGAAGGAGTCTATACTTGTCCATCTGTCTGCATGCTATTGTTCGTATCTGGTGAAGGGTTTTGACTGAATATTTTGCACAAAATTGGGTTCAAGATGGGTCTAGGCATTGGAAAGGAGTGTAGTAAAAATATTATAGTCTAGTCAATTCATGTACTTATATATACATATATATACACACACACACACACACTTGTTTATAATACAGAAATGTTATTGGAAACAGTTAAATATTTTCTGTTCAACCCAAGAATAATAGGTTCTGACACCATATTTTCTATTATTTTCTGTCTTAACTGGGTTAACATCGGGGTAGTTATTAATGTGAGTCTAAAATGTATACATATACTAACCTGAAGTCTTGAACCAAAATTTTCAATCTAAAAGTGCTGGGAGGTATGTATTTTCCAGAAGCAGTTTCCAGAATATAAAAGGAAAAAGCCACTTCCTTTCAAATTTATATGAACTGTAGTAGAAAAGGCTTAATATTTCTGTTTTGTGAATGTAGCGGTGCTTTAAGATTCTAGAACTTGTTTCTGCATATAATTTTTCCTCCTAACATGCAGATTCATGTTATTGATTTTTATTTGTGGACACAGACCTGGACCTAGTAGCTCACAATTGGATATGATGGATCTGTTACAACTTAAGAGTGGAATTAAGAAGAATAAATGTTTACTAAAACAAGTAGATGTGATGTTCATTTTTCATCAGATTTCAGTATGCATATTTTGAGATTGAAATGCACTATATTTCACATTGAATTGTAAATTTTATATAATTAAGAAATTGTATGTGCTAAATTGGTAAAAGATAGAAGGACTTAAGTAACTCATCTTCAGATGGAATAGAAATAGAGCAATGATGTTTGATGTAACCCTGATGCAAAGTTTTCAATCATAGTGCATCGTATCTCGTATGATTGTTGAAAAGAAGGGTCTGGTTTTAGTTGTGGCTCATCTTGTTACTCTAATTCTAGTTCTTGATGTTACTTTCTAGTTTCTATTCTATTTTTATTTTTATTTTTATGCCTTTTTCCCTCAAGTAACACATGTATAATTCAGAACGTTTTATCATTTGAACATAATACGTTGGAGTTGCAGTGCTATAAATGAAATGATTGTGTATCACTTTATGTTTGAAATTTTAATTTTTCCATTCCTTTTTTCCACATAAAGGAGTAATTGTAATATCATCACTGATTCCTTTTATTGTCTGTAAGGTAGTTTTGATGGTAACTCCATTAAAGTGGCTGAGTTATTGTTCAAGAAAGGTTTCAAAGAGGCTTATGCAATTCGGGGTGGGGTTAGAGGCAAGAATGGATGGCAGGTACTCTTCTCTTCTTTCTTCAAGATAGTTAAGTTGTTTGCTTGTTCCTGGATACAGTTGTTGGTGAATGGTGATTGTGGCACACATCAGATAATGTCTAATAAGCTGAATAATTGAACAGTCAGATCAAAATGTTGTTGTTATGGGCTTATGGTTATTGATATTGATTGGGTTATTTTTATAGAATATTTTATGGCACCAACTGTTCTGTCCATTTGTATCTGTATCAAAAAAATGGAATGGCACATGAAGAGTAGTATGTGTTGATTTTATATCAGAAGCATTCAGTGTAGTTGATCATTGAAAAGTGTCAAGACTGTTGTAGTTACATTACGCAGGATAGTTCTCCCTCTCAGGTAATTTGTGTCTGACATTTGTCCTGGCACTCGCAAAGACTCAACATTCATCCACTGTGAGAACCTTTTTAAAGTTTTAGTTTCTTCACTATTTTATTTTCTACAACTCTTCCACAGAAGTTTGGAAGCTCTTAAAACATAGATGTTTGGTGTAGAATGATCAGAATGACTCAAAGCCACACTTTTATAATTGTGTCCTTGTGTCTAGATTCTCAGGATGCATGTCAAATGGGAAGTCATGTTAGAGTCCATATATCAAATATAGTTTCTAATTTCCCTTTTCTTTTCTTCTTCTTCTTTTTTTATTTTTTATTTTTCTTTTATTTTTCTTTTTATTATATATATATATATATATATATATATATTTGTCTTTTTCTCTGTAACTCCCATCACCTTCAAACTTAAGACTAATTCTCTAGATACCCAAAATATCCCACAAATCAAAAGTACCATGTTGGAACGTAATTTTGCTTCTGATTAGCTTGCATTTGGCCTTTTATACCCCTCAATATTTGGCATTAAGCTTTTTTTTTTTATTTATTTTTTATTTTTTATTTTTTTCTTAAAAACTAGAATGCAAAAGAAGCAAACCATGCCCTTGCTTAAAGCCTCTTCTTTCAGTTGGAAGTGGGGAGAAAACAGAAGTTTGATCCAGAAGTGAACAATACAATTATTTTAACCCGAAACCGAAATGCTTGATTCATAAATTTGGTTTATTGCATTCTCTCATCCTGTCTCTATGTAAAACATTTACCGTTAAAAGATGTCTTCTTGGGGAATATAGTGTAAAGGGCTGGCCCAGTGCAGGAGGCTCCTGCCTTGCAGGGTTTGAGAAGGATCAGATTTATGCAGCCTTACCTTACCTCCAGGTCACAATGGAGTAACCTTATCATTGCACCAAAGCATGCTGGAATATAAGTATAAATGAACTAAATCCTAAGTGCTCCTGTGTGATAAGTCTTACTAACCTATGTTGCTATCATTTCATTGCTACTTTGAAAATATCCATGTTACATTAGTATGTAGTCTGTTACATGTTCATTTTTTGCTTACTTGCAGGAGATACAGGAAACCCTTCTCCCACCATCTGTACATATTTACCCCACAAAGAAGGTTAAAAAATCACAACAGCTTGAGATAAATGGAGAAGTGAACCAGGGGGATGGGAATATCAATCAGGTTTCCTCCTTTACAAATCTCCCTACGGGCAGAAGTGAACAGATTGACAATGGATATGTAAACAAGTCGATTAAATCCACCCCCGAGACAAAACAAGGTCCTAGACCGTCATCTCCCTACCCGCGTGTATGATCACTGTCTCTCTTTCATGAACACACACCCGCACACACATCGTCTCACATGCACGCACACGCCAGATACATGTGCATATGCATGCTTTTGGTAAATAATAGCATCACATCTCTGAAAATATTTGCAATGACGACTATTGTGCAGAAAACTGAAATGAGTGAGATAGAGGAAGTGTATTTGCTTCCAAATGCATGTAGATGTCTAGATGATGTCAAAATTTGGTTTAGTATATACAATGTTGGATCACTTATGATATGGAATAAGTTTGAAAGTTGAAACCAGGGTCTGGCATCAAATAACAATACTGTACTATGTATGTAGCCGCACGTCCATGCCCATAAATGAGAGTGTAATCGGAGCTTAGATTCAGCGATGTGTGGCTTTCATCTTCCTTTAGCTGAGATCTTAGTCTTTTCAATGACATTGGCTGATGGTTTATCTTGTAGAGAATGCTAGTAAGGCTTATTTAGGGAGGATGTCTTGCATTTTGAGCCACATCAATAAGTTTACCTCTTCAAACATGTTTCCGTTGCTGTAAATTCATGCTTACATCTCCACTGAAATACTAATAATGCACATGGATAATATGCAGTACCCAGATCTAAAACCGCCATCTTCCCCAACTCCGGCAAAGCCTCGAAGTTGATGCCGACTTTTTCAATTTGAATTGTTACCTCTTTTTTTTTTTTTTTTCAGAATTGTATTTGGATTGTTACCTGTTGATGCTTCAAAGCTACCGGGAAGCTAGCAACTTTTATTCTGTGTGTTTTACCCCTAATGATTTGTATACTATCCAATTTTGATATTCCTATTTCTGTAGTTTATATTGATTTGTGGAGAATATGGAGATTGACCTTGCTTTTTCTCTCTTTTTGGTTTTTCTCCGAAGTTTTAAGGAGAGAACAACTTTTGAATGTATTAGGTTGCACAGTTCCATCTGTTTCAATGGCCTCTTTAGTGTAATATAACATATGGCAACTGGGAGAGGATTTGGAATGTTGATGAGTAATGAAATAATTTCGTCTTTGTTTGTGTATCATCTGAGAATGCAATTCACTCAACTGAAAAATTGACCATTTGAGAGTGTAGGTGTCAACCATCAACTGTGTTGAAAAATCAACTCAACCTTTTCTAGGACTTCGTGGCAAAGTTGAAAAGTAAAAAAATTACAATTAGCCCTGGCATCGCACTAGGCCCGCCAAGCCTCGAAAGCTTAACCTTCGAGCACATTAAGTCATGGTACTGCGTCAGGCCCACCAAGCCTCGAAAGCCTAATCCTCGAGCATCCCAAGCCCTGACATCAAACCAGACCATCAAGTCTTGAGGAATCAACCCTTGAACAACTTAAGCCCTTGCAGCGCACCAGGTCAACAACGCCTCGATGAACCAACCCTCAAGCAATCCAAACCTTGGCATTGCACCAGGTCAATAAAGCCTCGAGAACTCGAACCTCGAGCAATTCAAACCCTGGCATCGCACCAGGTTAATAAAGCCTTGAGAGCCCGAGCCTTGAGCATTATAAACCCTAATGTCGGGGCAAGTCAATAACATTTGTAGGCTTAGCATATAGGTCCTTCCGGGCCTTTGCAATGCCTTGAAACATTAGAGCACCAGGGAGCTCGCCTACAGAACGCCATATCCTCATAGGTCCAAGCATAGCACGAAACGAAGGTAGGGCCTTCGTGGCTATGAGGGATCTCAGCTTGGGAAACTTAGAAGGATCTTGGACTAGTGGATGAGAAGTAAAGAAGTGTCTTCGCTCCCAGCAAGGCCCAATCAACGAGATGATGTGATTATATGCATTATGACAATAAATTTTAAAATCACATTTAATGCTGTGACAGACTTGACCAACCGAAGGCTAAGCAAGAACAAAAAGCATTTAATGCCACAAATGGAGGAAACACAACATAGTGCATGTCTCGATGAGAGGATTGAGCTTTTTAGGCTCCTAGGCTCATCCGGACTACCCATTTGATCATGGTTAGGAGCCAGACACGCTAGGGACTACGGGTTAATAACCAGCATAATCCAGGCCTATAAATAGCACTATCGCATGAAAGAGCTGTCATAAGTACTGTATGTCTGTCTACCTCCATCTTAATCTTGAGGATTGGTCTTATTCTCCTCCTTCATCAAGTATCTTCTCTGTTTTCCTTCATATTTATATCTTTGATATCACCTTTATACATTTACCTATTGTATTAATAAAAAAGAACCCCCTACAGAGAGAATGTCGTTTAGAGGAAAATATTGAATACACTAAAATTTTCTTGATAATAGTCTTTTCATGTGCAAGTATTTGATAAGTTTATTTTATTTATTTATTTATTTATTTATTTTGTCATTGGTAAGAAACACCCGGTGCCCCTTAGGGAATTTGAAACCTAAGACCTTTTATTTTGGAAGGCAAGCAACACTTTTTATTTTGAAAAACGAATAAGTACCGCTAAATTAAATTATAGTCTTTGACACACAATGCCGTGGCAATGTTCGAAGAGTTGCTTGAATCTGGAATGGAAATAACCAAACAAGTGGATATTTATGTATAATTAGAGGAGAAAAACATGGAGTTTGTGTATTTCATTATAACTTTTTACTTTTAACATTAGTTAGAAGAAAATATTACATTACTACCCAAATGATAAATTTGAATTCGGGCTCACTCTGAGTTGTAATTAAGTTTAATGATAGATTGAGGGACTTCAATCTGGGATGATAGAATATTTAAAAAAAAGAATGATAGAATATTTATAAAATAAAAAATAAAAAAAAAAAACAGATGCAACGCCGCTGCTGTTTGTTCTTTTTTTTTTTTTTTTTTTTTTTTTTTTTTTTCAGAAAGACGACCCAGACGCTCGCCGGAAAGACCAGCCGCGATCACTGGAGAATAAAGGACGAGTCTCAAACCGGCGGCCGAAGGAAAACCCAGTCGAAATCGCAGGAGAAAAACGACCCAGAAGCGCGACAGAGAACCCAGCCGAAATCGCCGGAGAAAAACAGCGACCTTGATGCGATCGCTGGAGAACGGCGACCCAAACTCAAAGCCGGAATATGACCCAGGCGCGGCACTTGTAGAACAACGAAAGAGGCAACGCAGAACAGCGTCCTATCCGAGATCGCTGGAGAACGACCTAACCGCGACGCCGGAGGACGAACCGGCCGTGATCGCTGTTAGAAGACGCAGCCGCGATCTGAATCGCCGGAAGGAACAGCCGCGTCGGAAAATAAAAGGCGAAGCCAGCGGCGAACTCAAACCGTCGGCGGAGAAGAACTCAGAACCATGGCGCCGTTTTTAATAGCCGCGACACCGTGGAAGAGGAGAAGAGATCACGAGGGTTGGACAATGAAATTGGGTTTAGAGATTTTTGGGGGAAGAAGCAGAATTTCAAGCAACAGAGAGGAATGTATTCGTGGTTTCAAGGGCCAAGGTGCGATCGATCTGCTTTGATGGGGGATCGACAATTTTAGGCAAAAAATGTCCCCTTCACTGTTTAATAAGAAGGGAGAAACATAAGTAAAATGGGATCGATCCCTTTGGACGGGGATCAATTCACTTGGCCTATTTTTTTGTTGCTCTCTGCCAAGAAAATGGGATCGATCTCCTACCCATTTTGGGGATCGATCTTTCTTTTTTCCTTTTTTTTTAATTTTTCAATTTTTTTTAAAAATAATAATAATAATAATAATAATAATAATAATAAACAAAAAAAATAAAAAAAATAAAAAAAATAAAACTAAACAAAACTAAAAAGAATATATACACTAAAATAAAAAATAGATAAAAAATAAAATAAAAATAATAATAAATAAAATTGAAATAAAATCACTTATCAACCTATACTAATTAATATTTTTTAATTTTTTTTTTTATATGTTTTTGAATAAATCAAAATTAACATGAAATATATACAAAAATAATAAAAATAATAATAATAAAATAGAAATAAAATCAAACACCAACCTACATTACTCATTTACAATTTTTTTTTTTTTTTTTTAATTTAAAAATGCATAAATGTACAAAAGGAAAAATAGAAATAAAATAATAATAAAATGAAAATTAAAATACAACGAAGGAGAAACTCGATACAACTAGTGTTTAACGTCGCTAGAAAGACGTGAGATATTCTCAATCTTCAAAATAAATGGGATCTACCAAGAGGGCAGATTCCACATTTCTTTGAAAATTTTGTCCATCAATATATGGTTTAAGCCTTTGACCATTAACTTTGAAGGTCCCTTCATCTTTTAGATTTTTAAGTTCAACAGCCCCATGAGGTGAAACGGAGATAATTTGATAAGGGCCTTCCCATTTGGTTCGAAGCTTTCCAGGGAAAAATTTGAGCCTAGAGTTGAATAACCAAGCCTTTTGACCGGCTTCAAAGGACTTTTTCACAATATGTTTATCATGAAATGCTTTTGTCCTTGCCTTGTAAATTTTTGAACTATCATAGGCATCATTTCTCAATTCCTCTAGCTCATTGAGTTGGAGTAAACGGTCCTTTCCAGCCTTATCAAGATCAAAGTTGAGCCTTTTTATTGCCCAAAGTGCTTTGTGTTCTAGCTCAACCGGAAGATGACAAGGCTTCCCATAAACAAGTCTATATGGAGACATGCCTATTGGAGTCTTGTAAGCTGTCCGGTAAGCCCACAAAGCATCGTTCAATTTTCTTGACCAATCTTTTCGGGTCGGATTGACAGTTTTCTCAAGAATATGCTTGATTTCCCTATTTGACACCTCGACTTGCCCACTTGTCTGGGGATGGTAGGGAGTGGCCACTTTATGTGTGATGGAGTATTTCAAGAAAAGTTGCTTCAAGAATTGATTACAGAAATGTTTTCCTCCATCACTTATCATAGCCCTTGGCATACCAAAACGAGCAAAGATATTTGATTTAACGAATGCAATTACCACGGAGTGGTCATTCGTTTTGGTAGCACAAGCCTCAACCCACTTTGAAACATAATCAACGGCAACGAGGATATATTGAAAGCCATAAGACATTGGGAATGGTCCCATAAAGTCTATGCCCCATACATCGAAGATTTCAACTACAAAGATTGAAGTTAAGGGCATCATGTCTCTCTTTGACATTGATCCCAACTTTTGACACCGAACACATACCTTACAAAAGTTATAGGCATCTCGGTGGATAGTGGGCCAGAAGAGCCCACTTTGAAGAACCTTCAAAGCGGTCTTCTTTCCACTAAAATGCCCACCACAAGCAAGTGTGTGACAAAACGCAAGGACGCTCGGAACTTCACTTTCCGGCACACATCTCCTGATGATTTGATCCAGGCAATAACGAAACAGAATGGGATCTTCCCAATAGTATTTCTGGATGTTAGCAAAGAATCGGTCCTTTTCTTGTTTTGACCAATTAATGGGAAGTTTGCTGGTTGCAAGATAGTTAACAATGTCGGCGAACCAAGGCAACGTCCCATTTGAGATTTGAAAGAGTTGTTCATCCGGAAATGATTCATGAATTTCAAGATTTGGAGAAGATTCAACCATTAATCTAGATAGATGATCGGCAACGACATTGTCGGAGCCCTTTTTATCCTTGATTTCAAAGTCAAATTCTTGAAGAAGTAGAATCCATCTTATCAAGCGAGGTTTGGTTTCCTTTTTCATTAAAAGATGCCTAAGAGCGGCATGATCGGAAAACACAATTACCTTGGATCCTAAGAGATA